AAAAATTTCGAATTTTTTTTTTTCTTATCAGAATAATCAGGAAAATATTTTTGTACAGGTGATATTTTAATCTTTTCTCGAAAAACAACAATTTTATTTTAAGAATATTTCATTGATTTATGGACCTTTGTGAGTTCATCATCAGAAAATTTTTTTAGACTTAAATCTCCGACACCTACGTTATTTATACAGGGACGATTTGACTTTAAACCATAAATATCGGCGGACATCGGTGATAAAATGATTAAACACATGCTACCATGTAGCTCAGAATCAGGGCTTTCGTTCGGTCATAAGAATACCTTAATCCAAATCCCTCCCTGCCCTACAAATCGCGATCGAAGTAGTAAAAAATTCCGGAGAAATCACGCCAAAAAATTACGTTTTTTTTGACTTCGATCGCGATTTGCAGTACAGGGAGAAATTTTTGATTGAGGTATTTTTATGACCGAACGAAAGACATGATTCTGGGCTACAGAATTACATATGTTTTTATCTTTTAGAACCGATATCCGCCGATATATTCCGGTTTAAAGTCAAACGGTTCCATATAAACACCGTAATATTACGACACGGAGGTTTACGCCTAAAAAATTTCCAGATGATGTCGAATAAAATAAAATTAATACTTGCATTAATTCTGAGAAAGAAATGAATAATGAAAAAGTGAAAAGATATTATTTCATTATTATTTACAGCATCTTTATCTTCTACCGGACACTCATCCACTTATAGTTGTAAAAATGGATACATTTTTTACCTTCTATTCTTTGACCACCTACATCAAACATTCTATAATAAAAAAATACAATGATAAATATGATAACTTCACTCTCGGTGGTAGATTATGATATTCTAATGTAGGAGAAGGTGAAGGATTTGAATGGGTAATGAAATTTATAATACTACAACGTTATTTTTATCTCCTTCTACCACGATTTCCTCCTGTTTTGAAAATAATTCTTCTTTAACTACTTTACAATCGCGATGATACTTGCATGAATAATCACATGAATAATTAACAACAAAAATATCAATAATTACTCTCGAAATCACTTTCCAAATCAGTAATTATTTTTTGAACATTATGACAATTGAACATGATTGAAATGCTAAATAAATGAAATTTTCGGAAGATCGAAAATGGATATATTATTATTATCTATTTTCTCTTTTCGTTCATTCTCTTTTCTCTTCACCTCTTTCCTCTCATACAATATATATATTCGCATTTAGAATTATATTTTTATAAGAATTTAAATTATAGAATTGATATTTTAATAATTAAATGAATAAGAAAAAATAAATTTCAAATTTTCACCTATTATGTGTACATTCTTTTTTTTTTTTGCAATCAACGTTTGACGATTCTTTTTACATAATCGACTTTATTACTTCCCATCTTTATCAATGAGTTAAAATTATAAATAGACAAACTAAAGAATGTTATCCAAAACTTTTAACTCATTCCATTTCTTAGATTTAACTGTATGTACAGTACTGTATTTGATAATATTTTTACTAAAATTCTTTAAAAAATATGAAACAAATGTAAAACATCTTTGTTTGATGTACAAAATGAAATTAATCATTCAAATAACAATAATAATAATATAAAATAAAAATGAAATTCGAAGTTTTAATAATGAAAGAAATAGAACAAATATAATAAGAAATAAATAAATTTAGTCATGAAACTGCGGGCCTAAACTTGAAGGACCTGTAACACCATTTTCTTGATCAATTAAAGTTGAAATAAAATAAATTATATAAAAAAAATAATTAAATAAATTTACGAAATAAAGAATGAAATCATATCAATTACCTTACCTTAAAAATCATTTGAGTCATCAACATTATAAAAATCATTTGAGTCATCAACATTATTAAGAGATAGTTGTTCGAATTCTATAATTATGCAATAATCATTTTTTAAATAAAGATTATTTATTATTAATTTTATTAAAAGCTAATAAAATATTACCTTCAGGGATTACAAGATCAAATTGTTTAGTTTCATATGCTAAATATAAATATACAACATGGATTAAGTTGGAGATTTTATTAAAATTAATAATTTGATCAATTTACCTTTTTGTTCTTCTATAAAGATAAAGATAATGAAAAATCAGTAAATTAAAATATAAAATAAAATAAAAAAATAAAATTTAAAAATATATTACCTTCTGTGGCATTTCTAGGTTGAGCTAAAATGTTAAATTTATATACTTTACTGGTTTGAATTTTTTGATTACTTTTAATTTTCGTTAAACTTGATTGAGAAAATTTTGATTCTGAACTGTCAGATTGAATAGTTGGTTCTTCATTACTATATAAAAACCGAATTAATGAATCAAATTTATCATAAATTGTTATTGCATCAGGTCGATTATCAGGGTTAGCATCCCAACATTGTTTCATTAAAGTTGCATATTCATATGGAATGTATTCGTAAATTTTAGGTCTATATCCATTAATTATTGCAAGAGCAAAATCAGAATCAGAATTGAATTCATAATCACTAAAGGGAGTTTCACCAGTAATCACTTCCCACATTATAATGCCTAAACTATACACATCTGATTTTGTTGTGTAATTTTCTTTACATAAAATTTCAGGCGCAATGTATGAGAGATTCCCATAGATACTATCTAATTGTTTGTCAACTGGCCCGCTCAATCCTAAATCACCAATATACCAACAAGTATCTTGTGAATTACATAAAATATTTCCGGAGTGCAAATCTCTATGTGTTATATTTTGTTTATGAATTTCATCTAAGCTATCCGTTATATCAAAAATAATATTATATTTTTGTACTAATGTAAGTGATTGATAATTGCCTTTTAAAAAATGTCTTAAATCATTATCATAATAATTTAAAACTAACATATAATCTTGGGTGCTTGGATCTTTGGTTAGTCCGTAACATGCAGCAAGATATCCAGAAACTTTATCAAGTGTGAAACTTAATGTTATCTAACAATTTTTTGCAATTTTGTAATTAATATTCTGAAATATAAAACAGAATATAATAAATGCAATAATAATTTAAATTACTTCTTGAAACCGATGCATATTATCATTGTTCGAGTTATTTAATCTTTTTAAAACAATCTTTTGTCTTCCAAATCTTTCCAATGTTTGTCTTTCAGAATTCCATTCATCATAGCCTCCATCTTTCCAAATTGCTGTATAAATGGTAGCACATCCTCCTTCTGTCAGGTGTTCAATATTCTCGAAATGATTATATTCAATCCATTCAATTACACAATCGGGTGCTAGAGTTTTTTGCTGACATTCTTGAATTAATTTGTCAATTTCTTTATTTCCAGATGTCCAATTTCCAAAATTATTTTCTAAATATTTACGAATACAAAATTCACAGTATCGAATTGCTTGATGCCAATTCTGACAATTGTTGCATTGTTGTTTTTCTACAGAATTATTGTCAATTTTTGCTGCATCATATTCTCTCAGTAATTCATTAAATAAAAATTTCTTTTCATTTTCAGAGAGAGATGAATCATTTTTAATTATATTTTTTCGATATTTTTCTTGCTCAGTAATTGTTTTATGAATATTGGTGTCTAGAGAGTGATATGTCTTGTCCAAAACTCTAGTTAATTTATCACTCAGTTCGATTTTTGGAGTAGCCATTTCCTATTTTATTATAATTTTTTAAATGAATAATTACTAATTATTAATTTATTAATATATAAATTATATTTTATTAATTTATTAATATATAATTTATTGTTAATCTATAAATACGCAATTTATTTATTAATTTATTATGTTTTATAATATGAAATTACCGTGAGTTGTGTTTTTAATGATAGTTAATAGATAAGGTTTATTATTTAAATTGGACTTTAATTATTTATTAGTGAAGTGATTGGAAAATATGTGCGCAGGAAATTATCTAGGCGAATAATATTTATTTAATCTTGACGAGTTGTTAAACCGTATGAGTTATGCTAATGTACAGTATAACATACTATATAAACATTTGCATGAATAATAAGCGTAATATATATAATTTTAAATAAATATACGGGACGCAAAAGAGATAAAAAATTTAATTTTATGTTTAACAGTAAATCATTCTAATATTTTAAACACACCGTGTCACATTATTGTTATAACAGCCATAAGGAAATGACTAATAATCCATCATAAAATGATAGATCGATTGATCGATCGATAATAAAATTGAACGATTGATAATATAGATAACTAATTAATCATATACATAATTAATTTAATAATTAAAATATACAAATAAAGTAAAATTCAGTATAGGATTTAAAACATCGATAAAATATGTAATTGAGGATGTAAATATATTTCTATATAAACTCCTTCTATTTGTGATAAAATATGAATAATAATAAAGCAAAAATATCAAAAAATATGCAGATGTTTATATGATAATAATAGATTAGAAATAATATTTAGTTAATTCGTGAAAATATTTAACCTCAAAATATTGGATCAATAACAGCCATAATATGATAAATAGCATCATCTGCATACCAAATCTAATTCACCTCTTAATTTTATAAACGTGGATGTTCTGTTTATTATTCAATTGGAACACCTGATCTGATATAATTAATGATATTTTGTCACGAAATTTGAATAACAGATAATCATTATTGGATGAAATAATATAAAATTAAATTTGTATTAAAAAAATAATTGATATTATTAAAAAATAATTTAATTATAATCCAATTAATTATAATTTAGATTGATATTTACCCTTCTAATTCTGTTAATTTGTTTTGTATTCATCCGCGACTTCATAACAGGAAATATTTGTTCAGTTAATTCAATAATTTTCATAGAAAATATCATCTTTAGCAAAAGGACCAATTTTTTTTATAAATTAAAGACTATAGATTAGAATAATGATTTAATAATAATAATTTAATAATAATAATTTAATAATAATTTATACTCACACTACAATTACAGTAATAATGTTTTATAACTTAAAATCTTTCGGTTTTAATATTTTCAATAATCTGCCATCCCACGGAATGAACTAAATTATAAGCAGATTGTCCAATTGGAATTTGTTTATCTTCTTCCCCTTCAATTCTAGAATTTCCTTCTAAATATTCTAAATATTCTTCAAATCTATTTTGAAAAAGGTGAAGAATTTGATGTAATCATATAATAAATGATAAATCATTGTTGATTAATGAATTCAAAATTTTATGAAATCCAAATTATTAAGACATTAATAATAATATGATCATAAACAATAATGATATTAATAATGATGCTGATATGAATAATATTGACGAAATCCCATTTGTTGACCCTTTCTTTCATTCATTTTTTTCAACTCAATAATTTACGAAAAGAATAAATGTCTTTGAAAACTTTTTGACAAGATATTCCAAAATTTATTGAACTTATTAAAATTAATTTTCCATCATTATTACATGCTATACCTATTGGTGTAATTACAAGTTAATTTGCACTTTCTTCTGAATCAGAAAGGATGTTGGTATATGGATAGATATAAAAGAAATAGGATAAATAAAAAAAAAAAAAAAAAAGCAGTGCCTATTTTAAATGGATAAAATTATTATTAACGATAAGATAAGGGACTGGAAGTGTCACAATGCAATTAGTTGGATTGTCTTCATCTATATCATATTAAATATATTTTCAAATTTGGAAAAGTTATTATTATTGCATCTATTCGAAAATACTTTGCATCAAGAGTAGTATATTCTTCACTTGTTTTCTTTACTATAGCAACGAAGTCATCTGTATTACAAGTTATAGAATGGATTACGTTGATTTCTTTAAGAAAATTATCAAAAATCATTTGGAAGTTTATCATTGAGAGGTTGACTACAACCTTAAATTAGATTATATTGATGTTTCTAGATTATATTCATCGTTGATCAAGAATAAAATAGAAATGGCATGCCAAGAATATTAATTACGTTTTTTTAATAAACAACAATAAAAATATTTCCAATTAGTCAAACTTAAACTATTTATTTGCTATTACGTATCTTTGATAAAAGTTACAGTTTTGAATAATAGCAAATATGATATTTATATTTAAAGATATTCTATTTTGACTAAATAAAATAATTTAAAACTTTTAAGATAAATTAAAACGAATGAATATAAAACAACTTAGAAATTAATTGATTATAGTTTAAAGTTAATTTAGTAAAATATAGAAAAGGATCCAATAATAAATTCTAATACGTGATAATATGCATGAGTAGCTGCATCACAAAATAAAAAGAAGTTATCACTGGTTGAAATAATACGATAATAAAATAAAAATTATAAATAATGAATTAAAAGGTTATAATATAAATAAATAAATTTTTAGAGTTGAAATTGTGAGCCTGAATTTGAAGAACCAGCAATTCCAAAATCTTGATCATCTAAAAAATAAAAATAATTAAATAATACAACATATGCCTTAAAAATAAAGAATAATAATGATAAATGGAATTATTTTAATACCACATGATTTACAGTATTTGAATTATTTGCCCAAATACTTTTAAGATACTGTTGTTGCATTTCTGTAATAATAATAGATAAATTAAATAAATATCATTATTAAAAAAATAAAAATATTTTACTTTCAGAAATTTCAAAATCAATTTGTTTGGAATCAGATGCTAAATGTAAAATATTCATATTATTATTAATATGAATTAAAATAGTAATTTCATCTGAAAAAAAAATCTGAGCAAACTTACCTCGTTGTTCTTCTATGAATAATTATTTAAAATAAATAATTAATTAAATCAATAGAAATAAAACCAAAAGAAAAGGGGATAATATAAAATATATTTACCATCAGTAGCATTTCTAGGTTTAATTGAAATATTGAATGTATATACTTTACTATTTTGTAATCGAAATATTTTGCTTTTTGTATTTTTGCTTAATTAAATATTCATAATTACTTGATTATTTTTATCTTTTCTTGATTTTAATTTAAAGAAATTTTTGATTTTTAAACTTTTAGATTGAACAATTAATTCTTGTTGTTTATCCATTTCATTATATATTGATTGAATCAAGGAATCCATTTTTTTATAGACTACACACGCATCAGGTATTAGCATCCCATCATTGTTTCATTAAAGTCACGTATTCATGAGGAATATATTCATAAATCTTTAGTCGACATCCTTCAACTATATCAAGAGTTAATTCCAAATCATGTTCATGGTCTTCAAGGGGAGTTTCACCAGTCATTACTTCCCACATTATAATACCTAAACTATATATATCTGATTTTGTGTATATATTTCACCACAGAGAACTTCAGGAGCAATGTGTGGGAGATCTCATAAATATTTGATGGTTTGTCAACTGGTCCACTTAATCCCAAATCACTAATATACCAGGAAAAATATTTTGCATAATATAAAATATTCCCTGAGCGTAATCTTTGTGGATTGTACTTTGTCTATGAATTTCGTCTAAGCCTTTTGCAACCTTAGAAATAATTTGGTATTTTTGCAGCAGTGTAAGTGAATGATAATTATCTTTTAAAAAATGTCTTAAATCATTATCACAATAACCTAAAACTAACATATAATCTTGGGTAGTTGGATCTTTGGTCAGTCCATTACATATAGCAAGCAAATAAGCAGAATTATCAAGTGTTAAACTTAATATCACCTATCAATTTTTTTGTAATTATACAATTACTGAATTAATATTCTAAAATATTGACAAAAATTGATAAACGCAATAATAATTTAACTTACTTCTTGAAACCAATGCACATTATTATTATTTGAGTTATTCAATCTTTTCAAAACAATCTTTAGTCTTCCTAATATTTCCAATATTTGTCTTTCAGAATTCCATTTATCATAGCCCCCATCTTTCCAAATTTCTGTATAAATGGTAACACATCCTCCTTCTGCCAGATGTTCGATATTCTCAAATTGATTATATTCAATCCATTCAATTACACTATCGGGTGCTATAGTTTTTTTCTGACATTCTTGAATTAATTTGTCAATTTCAATATTTCCAGATATCCAATTTCCAAAATAATTTTTAAATATTTACGAATACAAAATTCACAGTATTGGGTTGCTTGATGCCAATTTAGACAATTGTTGCATTTTTGTTTTTCTACAGAACTTTTACCAATTCTTGTTCTGTCATGTGAACTCTGTAATTCATTAAGTAAAAAATTCTTTTCATTTTCAGTGAGAGATGAATCCTTTTTAATCATATTTTCTTGATATTCTTCTTGCTTAGTAATTGTTTTCTGAATATTAATATCTACAAAATAATATGTCTTATCCCAAACACTTCTTAATTTCTCATTCCATTCAATTTTTAGAGTAGCCATTTCCTATTTTATTTAAATGAATAAATAAATAAATAAAAATATAATATGAAATTACCGTAAGTTATGTTTTTAATAATAATTAATAGATAAAGTTTATTATTTAAATTGACTTTAATTATTAATTAGTGATGGGATATATGGGCGCAGGAAATTATACTAGGTAATTAATATTTTATCTAGGTAAATATTAATTTAAATTTGACGAGTACGTTAAACCGTATGAGTTATATTTTGTATATAATATATATATATATATATAAACATATGAGTAATAAGAAAACCGAGTGTAATATAAAAAAATAATTATAAATAATTCGCAATTATGATATTTAATTGATTAACAGTAAAGTATTTAATTATTTTCTATTAATAAAATCAATGATATCTTACCTTTACATGAGAATCCGTGCTAATAGCCAATTAAAACATCTGTTTATATTTGTACTACAACAATAGATATATTAATTAATTAATTAAATTAAAATTCATTTTAATCATGGAAAAAAATCCAATTGATCTAATTGATAAAGAAAAAAATGTTATAATAGAAACAGGCAAATTTCCCGAAATTAAAATATTCAAAGCAAATTCGAATATATTAAAAAGGACAAAATATTTTCGAGTAGCGTTATCAAATGAATGGGCAAAAAGAAATGAAGACGGATATTATATTATCAATAAACCCAATATTAATCCTCAAACTTTTGAAATTATATTAAAGTTTGTGTTGGTTAATTAATTTATCAAATGTTATTATTAATTAAATCTAAAATAATACTAATAATAATTATTATTATTAATTGATCTATTTAGGTTTATAGATAATGATGATAACGTTCAATTAAATCTATTAAATATTAATGGAACGGAATCAATTCAATTATTAATTGCGTCAGATGAATTGGAATTAATTAAATTAAGTGAAATGGTTCAAATCTATTTAATAAATTATGAAACAGAATGGATTCATCAAAATCTTGAATATATTTTAAAATTCATCAGTATATATAAATCTTTTAATATCCTATTAGAATATACGATAAGTAGTATTTGTGGAAATCCTCAATTAATATTCGGACGGGATAATAAATATTTGGAATTAAATGAATACGTGATGATTCAAATATTAAAACGGGATGATTTAGAATTAAAAGAAATTGAAATTTGGGAATACTTAATTAAATGGGGAATTCATAATTCTAATAATGATAATAATAATAATAATAATAATAAAACGAATTGTCATTGTAAACTTTCAATGGATATTTCAAGTTGGACACGAAATGAATTTATCGAATTGGAAAAGATATTACATAATTGTATTCCATTAATTAGATATTTTCAAATCTCATCAACGGATCTTTATGATAAAGTTCGAATCCCATTCAAGAAAATATTACCGAAACAATTGAATGAAGATATTATACGATATTACATGAAACCTCAAAGTAAAATAGAATATAAAATATTACCACCTAGAAGAGCCACCATAATCGATTCCAATATTATCAAATCAATTCATATAGCACTTTTATGTAGTTGGATAGATAATAAAGAGAATTATTATTATTGTAAAAATATTCCATACGAATTTAAATTACTTTGTCGAGGAAGTAGGGATGGATTTGAAACATCAGTATTTCATGAAAAATGTGATGATAGTATCGGAACGATTGTATTAATTAAATTGAGTAAGTTAAATGAAAGCAACATGAATGGAATTAATCTAAGTGGAAGTGAAAGAGAAAATGGAAATGATACAGAAGAAAGTGAAGAAGGAGAAGAAATGATAGTATTAGGAGGATATAATCCTTGTACATGGAAAAATTCCAATAAATTAAATAATAATAGTAATTTTCTAGATAGTTTCATATTTTCGTTTAATTTAAGAGGAGAAGGAGGAGGAGAAGATTTAAGAAAAGAAGCTAAATTAAGTAGAATTAAAATTAAAGAAGAAGCTATTTATTGTTCCACATTAAATGGACCATGTTTTGGAAGAGGGGATCTTTGGATGACAGGAAAATTTGGATCATCAAAAAGGACTTCTTATGAATTTAGTATTATTGATCAAGTGAATTTTTTTGCTGAAGATTATGAAGTATTTCAGATTAAGAATATTTAATAATTGATTATTATTATTTAATTAATTATTTAATTTATTTTTAATTAATTAATTGATTTGATTATTATTAATTGATTATTATTTTAATTGATTTGATTTGATTTATTATCAATTATATTTTCAAAAACACTAAAAAATATTATATATTCTATTTTCTATATTTTGGAAATTTTATTAATTCAAAATTATTAAATAATAAATTTAAATTAATTTCATTAATTTTCATCAAGAATCGTTATCTTCACTTTCTTCTCCACTATCAACATCATTATTAAATAATAATTAATAACTAATAATTAATAATACTTTAATAATAAAAAATAAAAATAATGGAATAATTACCTATAATTATCTTTATGATTATCACTATTCGTACTAGCTTTCGACATTAATCCATTTTGTGATACTTTTCTTCTCAAATTATTAAAAATGTAATTTTGATGTCTATTCTGAAAACGTCCTCCTCCTCCTCTTCCATTATTATTATTATTATTATTATTTAATTGACGCTATTTATATTATGTATTAGTAATACAATAATTATAATTATAATAATTAAATTAAATTATTTTATACTTTAATACCTTATTCTCAACACGAATCTATATTATTATTATTATGATAAGATAATTATGATTATTAAAATTATTGTATATTATTATAAGATTATAGAAAATATAGAATAAATAATTACCCTCTTTGAAGGTTCATTATCCGCATGGTTGTCCTTCTTAATTCCATTCTAAATGAAAAAATATTTATTGATATTGAATATTGAATAACGATAAATAATCATGTAATTATTATTAATAATAAAAATTACATCTTCCAATTTCTTTGTCAACTTTTCAATTTCAGTTTTGAGAAGTGAAACTTGATGAACACTTTGATCATATAACCATTTCAATCGATCAGCTTCGGCGGCAAGATATCCAACTTCGGCACTTTTATGAGCATACCCTTCTCTAAGCCACGTAACTTCATCCAATAACTACATCAATATAATATATAATATATAATATATAATATATAATATATAAATAAGTTATAATATAGAATCCAATATATATATAGAATAGATATAAATTATACTTTTTCCCAAGTGGCAGGACAAATTTCGGTTGGTTGAGATTCTACTGGATCCGGACTACGCGACATTACTGGAAAATTAAATTATTACGCACATAAATAATACATTAATACATATATAATAAATAATACATTGTAAATATTAAAGTACCAATATATATTCTCGTACCAAAAAATATTATAAAATATATATATATATAAATAGTTCGCGTTTTTTTTTTTGAGAGAAAGAAAATTTGATAATTAAAATTTTCTTTTGAATAATAAATAAATTATACTAATCTTGAATTGATTAAATAGATTAAATTTCATAAGAGATTTAATTGCGTCAAATTAATTATGTAAAAATTTGTAATCAAATATTCTAAATCTTCCTATCAATGCAATGTTGCTGAGTTTATATTTTTCCTTATCATTTATATATAAGTTTATGTTAAATATGTGAATTAAAAAATAATTTTATTGAACTTTTTGTAGTAAAAAAATTATATTGTTACATTGAATAAAATAAATAAAATGGAAATCTATTATTCTAAATACATAATAATTTAACATTATTAATAAATATTATTAAATATAATTTATAATAATAATAAATAAATAAATAATAAATAATAATAATGTAATAATAATTATAATACATAAATAATTTAATATTAATAAAAATAATAATAATAAATTAATAAATAATAAATAATAATAAAATATAATTATTTATAATGAATATCAAAAAATCCGGTAACTTCATTCATCACTTTCCAACAACCAATTCCTAAAACAAAAATCCAAATCACGAGATCAACTAATAATAAACTTATTCCACCTAATAAAAATCTTGGTACAAATATTTTCCAAACCATTAAATGTCTTCTAAATATTCCAGCCCAAATCACACTACTGGTGGTTAATATACTTTGATAAATTAAATAAAACATGATCGTCTTGATGATCTCATAAAACATTGGATAATCGGATCGAGGTGTAATATTCCAAAATATTATTAAAGGAATTGAACAAGTAAATAAGATTTGTGATGCGAGAGTATTTAAAGTTATTAAAATTGGTGTAATCGTAAAATTGGCTTCGGATATTCCAATAAATCCGGTTGACCATTGTATTGATGATAATGTTGCTTGATGTCCAGTTGAAAAGAAATATAATGTTGAAAGTAATGATATTATTACAACGTAAATGAATTTTGTAGATCTTATCAAATTATTATTATTATTATTATTATTATTATTACCACCACCAATCTTATTATTATTGTTATTATTATTATCCGAACTTGAAAAATTTTCGATTTCTTGAATATATTCATCAATATCTCCAAGATTTCGTTGATTTCTGCCACCTTTCTCTCGTTTACTTGTTTGATTTATTCGATTAATTCGACTCATTTTGTTTTGCATCTTTTTCCGATTCAATAATTCATTTACATTTCTTGTGGTGTCAATGATTTCTAATAAACATAAAATTTGACATATCGCAATTGATAGCATAATTCCTCCCATCGGTTTTTGTGTTATTACTAATAAAAGATAAATGATTGTCAAGAAGATAAAATATGATGATCCAAATGCATTTCCATATCCTAAGATTGCAATAACTTTTCCGGAATTTGATTTGTCTGACTCTATTATTTGTTGCGGATTTTCTGAATTATCTGAAGTATCCGAATTTTCTGATTGTAATGATGTATTTAATATATTTATTGATTTTAATTTGTTTGATGTGTTTGGCGTTTTTGGTGTTTTCGGTGTTTTTAATGTTACGATATCAATCCTTCTTCGATTTCCACTTAAATTTATTCCGCTCTCTCGTTTATTTCCTTCTTCATTAATATTAATCATTTTTAATTCCAGGCAAAGTGGATTTGTTATCCAAGCAATACCTCCAACTATAATAGCCAATCCAAATGCTAATCTAACTATAAAATTTTTTACCCATTTCCAACTTTGATTCATTAATAATTCCGTTATTATATTATTATTATTGTTGTTGTTGTTGTTATTATTATTACTATCCTCACCATAATTATTATTCATAGAATTATTACTCTCCTCACCACCATTATCCATTACCCAATATGCTGCGGACATAATTAATCCAGCTCTTAATCCAATATCAATCCAAATTGGTGCGATACCATTATAACTTTTAGATAATTGTAATATTCGACGTATAATGAATGGTATAATAACTCCTAATGTTACTAAAATTATTAAAACATTTGGTGATGAAGAAGTTGTTGATATTGAAGCATAAAATGTTGATATACAATAAGGCATTTGTTCTTCTCGACATACAGTTGAATAAGCCGAAATTCGCGAAATAATTAAAAATGTTATCGTTAATATGATTAATCTCTTACGTAATTGATCATCCTTGATTCTAAATGATTTAATAAATGTATAAATTCCAAATGTTTGTATTAATGCTAAACTAATACGATCTTCATGAATTGTAAAACTATTTGATGTAAATAATGATGAATGAAGAATTAAAAAAAATATTGCCAATAAATTATCGGATGTGATCATCTTGCTTTTTTTAAGTGAAATAATTCCAAATCTTGAAAATTCAATAAAATAACCAATGATTGAACCGATTGATGAACCAAAAATTATAATATCTAAAGTGGTAAAATTATTTGAATCAATAAAAATTATAAATTTATTAATAATAAATCTAATTAATCCCAATCTTGCAAATACGGCACCAAAACTTCCTCCCACCAAAATATGTCGAACCGCCACGTAATTATTAAATGTTGAATGATTCTTTGTACTTTGAATAATATGTAAACCGATACAAATACAACTTGATATTAAAATACTAATTCCCGAAATCATTAATGATAAATCAAATTGTGCCCAAACTCTTCGACATATTGATAAAGTATTTCTCAAAAAATTCATATAAAGAACAATTAAATTTTCCAGATTTTCCAAAGATTCCGTTGAATTTTCATTTTTTTCTATCGTTTGTTTTTTAAATAAAAATAATTTGTATTCATTTTCAGCTTTATTAAACATATTATTCATAATTTTTAAATCTTCAGTTGATAAATCTGTTGATGATCGTTGCATTGAATATTCTTTAGCATATCGATAAACTTGTTGAGAATTAAGTCGTAAACCATTTAATAAATTTAATAATTTCTCTTCAACACTATTATTATTCCCATTATTGTGAAGAAATACTTCAGGTATTAAAGATCCTAAATTATTAAAAGGAATTGGAATTCCTAATAAGAGAGATAAAGTTGGTACAAAATCAATTTGTGGAATACTTCGCCATTTCTCTTCATATTTTGATGTAAATGATTTAATTCCATGATTATTTAATTCATCTAATTTCTTATAAATTCGTGAAAGAATATTTAAATAATTTGAATCTTGAATCATTAATTGCTTTTTACTATAAATGAAAAGTGTCGATTCAACTTCATTATCACTATCCCCTCCGTGATCTCCTTTTGAATCCATTCCATGATCTCCCATTATTAATACGATTGTATCTTCTTCAATATTTTTAGTTACATTATTAATCATTTCATTCATTTGTTGTAATTTTTCTGCCATTGCCGGATGATCCGGTCCATATCGATGTCCACAATGATCGACTCCCAAAAAATGTGCAATGAGTACATCCCAATCTTCTTTCCCTTTCCCTTTCTCTTCTTTTCCTTCTTTTCCTTCCTTTTGAAATATTGGTTCAAATAATTTTAATATTCCGTCATCAACCGTGTGAAGATCCCAAACATTTAAAGATGGAAATGGATTTGTCATATTTGGATCAAATTCTTTTGGAAATAATGAAATCCATGTATCATCTCCCATGAATGCTATCTTTTTACCTAACTTACATAATTGATAAATCAAATTATCTTCCATTATCGCGGATCCGGCGAAATTACTACCGGCATCAATAAATGTTGGTAAAGTTCCGGTGGTGAGAGCTTTCAAACGTTGTAAAGTTGTGGTTGGTGCATCAGCGATATATTCAAAGATTAATGAATTTGCCGGTTGAGTTCTTAGGAGATAATCAAATATTGGAAGTTTATTATGATAATATTTCTTTTCCCCACCATCATTATCCTCATTATCCTCATGATTGTGTGGAATTGCAAAATCAAATCTGAGAGCATCAATAACTATGATTATGGCTTTTTTATAATTTGATGGATACCAACAACTATCATATCGACCACCATCATAATTTCTTTGATTATTATTATCGTGATCATTTTGATGGTCGTAATTATGTGCAAACTTTTGTCCGGCAATCGTGTTTTTCCAAGGATAAGAATAACTATCACTGGTGCTGCTGCTGCTGCTGTCGTTATTATTAAAAAGAAGATTTGGAGGAGGAGGATTTGAACATTCGCTATGATTATTCAAAACCAATCTCGTCAATAAAAAACCTCTGGTAAATAAATACAATCCTCCCAAGTGAATTAAAAATATCCATATACAAAGAAATATTAAATATGTAATATTCTTTTGTAAATCTATCTTTCCATTTCTTATCGTGGTGGTGGTGATGGTGGTATTGATTTTTTTTTGTTTATTACTTTTTGAAGAAGAAGAAGGAAACTTTCGTGTTAACGACGACGACGACGATGACGACGATGAAGATCGAGTTTCGGCCATTTAATAATAAACATTCATAAAAAATTCATTTTATATGGTTTTTAAAATTTAAAATGATTGGCACACGTGTCATTTTTTATTGGAACACCATTAAACAAATAAATTAGAATTTGTGTAACCATCATTATTATCATTATTTCATTATATAAAGTACGCATATATATTTATAAAGTATATATTTTTTTTTAATCTATAGAGAAAAAAAAATTATACTTTTTTTTATTAAACATTATAAATGTACTTTTTTGGTTTTGATTTGGGTAAGTATTATATAAAAATGTAATCCATAAAAAAAAATTTGTACATGATTTACATAATTTTTCACCACCTTGAATCTGAATAAATTATTTTGAGCAATAAAAATCAAATAAAATCAAATAAAAATAATAATATTTAAATGGATAAATAAATAAAAATAAAAATACACCAAAAAATTTCTATAACTGGTAATAAATGTTTTGATTGATTTTTTTTTTAACAAAATCTTCCACCAATGAATTCTGACCAACTTTTAACTTCTCCTGGATATTCTCCTGCTGATAAACTACCTAATTCTTGTCGTTTCCTTTTAATCGATTCTACAAATAATTTGGCACATTTACTATCATTCACCAATGGTATTCCAAAATCTACTGCCGATCGTCGCGCGATATAATTTCCATCATTTACATTTGAAGCTCGAAGTGATGCGAGATTAAAGACGAAATCAATATGATTATTTTGGAATGTTTGTTGAAGTGCTCGTTTATTATTTTCGGGTAAAGTTAATGTTTGAGCTTTAATATTATGTTTGGCTAAATCATCCGTAACTTTTTGTGAGGTAGTAAAAAGTGGATGTCCTAAATCTTTTGAAAGTGTATTTGCTACCGCATAAAAATCATCTTCTTTGGTATATTGATCTTTTCCTAAAAGGATTCCACTTCCTGGTTTAGGAATTCTAAAATTTTGGGTTGATTGAATCGCTGACCAATATGCTTCATATTTATCTTTACCGAAACATGCAACTTCTCCAGTTGATGCCATTTCAACTCCCAAGAATGGATCCGCCCCTTGAAGACGTGTCCAAGAAAATTGAGGAACTTTAACTGCTTGATAATTTTTCTTCAAGGCCATAATATCAATTGGTTTGGGAACTTGATAATCACATAATGCGTGAGTAGCAACTTCAATGAAATTGGTACCAAGAACTTTTGATACGAATGGGAATGATCTTGATGCACGTAAATTACATTCTATAACTTTAAGTTCTGATTCTTCCCCGGGAATATCTTTTTTAATGATTTGCATGTTGAATGGTCCCGTGATTTCAAATGCTTTGGCAACCTTTACGGCAATCTCTTTTAATCGTGCCATGGTCTTGTCATCAATATCTTGGGGTGGTAATATTAAAGTGGCATCACCGGAATGAACGCCGGCATTTTCGACATGTTCTGATACGGCATGAATTAATAATTTCCCTTTATGCGCAACTGCATCAATATCTATTTCCGCAGCTGAAGATATGAATTTAGTGATCACCACGGGATGTAAAGGTGAAACTGATGTTGCTTCGAATAAATTTTTGTGTAATGTTTCATGATCATGACAAACGTTCATGGCTGCACCTGAAAGTACATATGACGGACGAACTAAAACTGGATATCTATTGTAATAATTAAATAAGAAAAATATTATAATTTAATAAAAAAATATAATTAATATATATATACATACATATATATATATACTAAAAATGAAAGAATCATATATAACTTACCCCACTGAATCAGCAAATTTCTCGGCTTCTTCTGCACTTGATAATTCTTTCCATTCAGGTTGATCCACATTAATTTTATCCAAAATTTGTGAAAATTTGAATCGATTTTCGGCATTATCGATCATCACGGGACTAGTTCCTAATACATTCACATTACTTTCATGTAAACGAAGTGCAATATTTTGTGGTAATTGACCTCCTACTGAAACTACCACTCCACGAGCTTTTTCGGCTTCATAAATATCCATAACTCTTTCATAAGAAAGTTCTTCGAAATAAAGTCGATCACATTCATCAAAATCGGTTGAAACAGTTTCCGGATTATAATTTACCATGATCGTTTTCTTTCCCATATTACGAAGAGATTGAATGGCTGAAACTCCACACCAATCAAATTCTACTGATGAACCAATTCGATATACTCCTGAACCTAATACCATAGTTCCATGTTCATCAAATTTTACATCATGAGTTGACGCATTATAAGTGGCATATAAATAATTGGTTTGAGCAGGAAATTCTGCTGCCAATGTATCAATCCTTTTTATAAATGGTGTAATTCCATAACCTTTTCTGGCTTGTCGTACTTGATCTTCAGTAGTGTCTTGTAAAAATCCAGCAATTTGAGCATCCGAAAATCCTTTCTTTTTAGCATCTTGTAATAATGATTTTGGAATATTCTCCAATTTTCCGGCATGTTTAATATCATGTTGAATATTTACAATATTTCCAAGTTTATGGAGGAACCATTTATCAACTTTCGTAAGATCATGAATTTGGTCGATCGTATAATTCTTTTCAAGCATAGCGTGACCTATAGCAAATAATCGTCTGTCCGTGGGAACACTAAGAGCTTTATCGAGATCTGAGAAAGGTAAAGCTTGGAAGCCCTTAAATGAAGGATCAACTTGACGAATGGCCTATGTATTAAAAGAGATATATTAAAAGACATATTAAAGGTATGTTAAAGATATATTAAATATATATATCAAAGATATATATCAAAAAATGTATATATATATATATATATTGATTTTTAAATTTACCTTTTGCAAACTTTCTTCAAAGGTTCTACCAATTGCCATAACTTCACCAACACTTTTCATTGAACTACCAATTTCACGATTGACATGTTGAAATTTACTTAAATCCCATCTTGGAATTTTTGTTACTATATAATCCAATGATGGTTCAAAACATGCGGTGGTAGTTTTGGTAACCGCATTTCGAAGTTCTGGAAGTGTATGTCCCAAAGCAATTTTTGCAGCAATAAATGCGAGAGGATAACCGGTTGCCTTTGAAGCTAGTGCACTAAAATTAATAATAATATTATCATTATTATTATTATTATTATTATTATTAAAACATTTAAAAATAAATAAAATAAAATAAATAAAAATAAATTTAAAAATATAGATTACTAACCTACTACGACTAAGACGTGCATTAACTTCAATAACTTTGAATTCAAGACTTTCAGGATTCAAGGCATATTGAACATTACATTCACCCACCACTCCCAAATGACGAATGATTTTGATAGCAGCGGTTCTTAACATATGATATTCTTCATCACTTAAAGTTTGACTTGGTGCAACAACGATCGAATCACCAGTGTGAATACCCAAAGGATCAAAATTTTCCATATTACATACGGTAATACAATTATTTTCGGCATCTCGAACAACTTCATATTCTACTTCTTTCCATCCTTTCATTGATTTTTCCACTAAAATTTGGGGTGCCAAGGCTAATGATTTTGCAGCTAAACTATGAAGTTCTTCGGGATTTGATGCAAATCCGGAACCGAGACCACCAAGTGAAAAAGCGGAACGAACAATTATAGGGTAACCAATTTGTTCAGCAGCAGCAAGTGCATCATCGATAGTAGAAACAGCAGTTGATTCAGCAACAGGGATATCAATTTCTGAATGATTTAAATAATAAATTATGTGAATTAATTATATTAATTATTATGTGAAACTAATTATATGGATTAATAATGTGAATTAATTTTGTGAATTAATTATATAAATTAATTATAAATACCTTTTAATGCTTGAGCGAATAAATCTCTATCTTCACTTACTTCCAAAGTTCGAATTGGAGTTCCCAATACTTTAACTCCAAGTCTAGACAAAACACCCATTTGTTCTAATTTAATACCAACATTTAATCCAGTTTGACCACCAAAAGTAAGAAGGATTCCATCAGGACGTTCACGTTCAATAATGTGAGTTAAATATTCAACTGTCACGGGAAGGAAATAAACGGTATCCGCCAAAGCATGTGATGTTTGAATGGTGGCAATATTTGGATTTACCAAAACTGTTCGGACACCTGATTCACGTAATGCTTTGATAGCTTGTGAACCTATAAATTCATTATTTTTATTTATTTAAGTTTATTTTATTTTATTAATTTTTTTATTAATTAATTATTATTATTTTTTTTATTTTTTATTCATTTTTTATTTTTTATTTATTTTTATTTTTATTCTTATTTTTTATTTATTACATGAAAAATCATATCAACTTACCAGAATAATCAAATTCACCAGCTTGCCCAATGGATAAACCACCTGATCCTACAACAAGTACTTTGTCCACATTAACTTTGTTCGATTTAATAATAGAATCAAGAGGATTTGTTTCAGCGGTTGTACTATAAAAGTGATAAGATATTCGAGAGTTCACTTTCTTCGGTCGTAAAGAATGTAAAGAAGGATTAAGGTATGAATTGAAAGTGGATAATGGATAAACATGATTTGACTCTTTGACTTTTGGTATCGTAAATATTCGATTATTTGTATTAATTGTGGATTTAGAAAAGTTATGATAATTGCTGCGAGATATTTTGATTGGATTTTTTAAGGTTGTAGTTGTAGTTGTAGTTTTAGGAACTAAAGATACTAAATTTCCGACACGACGCATTGGAATGCGCATTGAATTTCGAATCGGACTTGGGGAACGTATAAAACTTTGATACATGATGATATGATGATTATAATTATGGATTCTTTTTTATTTAAAATTATTTTCAAAAAAAAAAAAAAAAAAAAAAAAAAAATTTAAATAATAATTATATCATGAGAAAAAAAAATTGACGCGAAAATTAATATCATTTATATATCAATTAAAAATCATATAGAAAATTTAAATAAATAAATAAATAGATAATCATGTTTTTTAAATTGATATCTGTTCCATTTTAGGTAATGAGAATCGAGGGAGATCTAAATCAGTAGATAGATGAACTTTAAAAATCAAGATTATAGATTATGCATGACATTATATACAAGATTTTACAAGAGATCAAGATGGACAATTTTTGACGCCAAGTTATTCGAATTCTCAACTTAAAAAAACATAATAAAGAAAAAAACGCCCTGCGGACTATTCCGTTTTAAATAATTTACATAATATGAAATTTGGAAATTCCAAATTTGTTCATTTTGTGCATGTGAAAGTTTAGATAACATTGCATCATAAACTGTAATTTTGTATTTAATTGTGTTCAAGATGTTGTTGAAACATTTTTATAATCAAAACTTCTTTTTTAACCCATCAATTTTTTGCCAGTATTCTAATAAACAATATTAAACAATATTATCAAGTACTACGTACAAAAATATTATTATGGAATATTTATCCAATTTTCATTTTTCTTTTCATTCATTCATTCACCGAATGTTCGATTTTTTCTTTTTGAATGTTCATTTTTAATTTGAGTCCATTTTTGAATATTTTATCTACATCCATTAAATTCTACCGAGTGAACTTATTTTAATGACAAAGGTAAAGAGGAGCTAATTCAAAAATAAATAAAAAAAAATAAATAAATAAATAAATTCGTTAGTTTAGTATAATTAATACAATTTAATAATATAATTAATACAATTTAAGATTCTTGGGTTTACAAAAATTAAATTGGATTATATTTTTAAAGAATATTACATTCTGTTTGTGCATCAGACAGGTATCGTTTGGATATCACTTTTATTGAATTGTATTTATTAACTTCTGCCATTCTGGTGGGTGCGAGAGGTGAACTAATCGTTGGTCGATTATACCTTTGTTCTAAAATAAATTTAAAAAAAAATTTAAATTAAAAAAAAAAAAAAATAAATTTAGAAAAAATTAAAATTAAAAAAAAAAAAAATAAAAATAAATTAAAAATAGATTAAAAATTAAAAATAAATAAGATAATAATTTTTTTACTCACGAACTCGTAACGCCTTATGATGAGTATCCATAAGTTTTAATCTATATTGTACACCTTCCCTCGTGGTAATAAATCTCGAAGGAGTATCAGGAGAAGGAGATAATTTCTTCTTATCATTATTATTTGGACTGATAATCTCACGTTTCTTATTTGATACCCTTTTTTCTTGTTTAGTATTGTTTGATGGTCTTATTATTTCTTCTTTATTATTATTATTATTATTATTATAATTATTTTTGTTATTATTATTGGTATTATTGTTATTATTGTTATTATTGTTATTATTATATTTATTATTTTTTGTTGGTAGATCTCGTTGAGAAATAATTGATGGTGAATAATATTCTCCAACAGTAGAAATTTTAACAACTGGAATATTAATAACTGGAACATTATTAACGACTGGAACATTATTAACGACTGAAATATTATATTCAAATAGGCATTCGTCAGGAACATTTATATTAGGATTAATTTTATTGTTGGTAGATTCGTATGGTATATTACTTTTTTTATAATCGACAATAGGTCGTGGTGGTGATGTTTTACGACTTTTCTTAATAATAATTCCACAAATAGATGAAATTATGATTATAAAACCAAATTCGTAAATGGTAAGATTATGTATAAAGAATATAACATTTAATATACATTTACATGTATATACTATTAATGTTATTAATGGCGGAGTAATTAATTCCGTGAAGCCAATTGATAAAAAGTAAAGAGATAAAAGTATAAAGATTAACAACAACATTTTGTAAAAAAAAAGACTGAAAAAGGGAAATTTTAAAATATTTATTTTTTTAAAAAAAAACTATTTATATATAATTATTTGTACAGGAAATTTATTGGCTAAAATTTTTTAAGTTTTTTTTTTTATAAGATCGCGTTTAAGTCAGAAAAACAATCAAAAACGCGAAAATTTAGTTAGTTTAATGGTTTAAAATAAATGATCAGTCAAATGATCAAAATGACAAATAATCCCCCAAGTTTTTTTCGAATTCATGAAAAAAGCTTGTTTTACGGATCACAGTATAACAACCTGTAATCTTTCAAAATAAAAAATTTTGATTTATCATTTTCTATACAAAAAGAAGTATCTTTTAATATATAAAAAGAATCAAGACTTGGAATATAATGAGAAATCATGTGGTTAGATTAATTTCATATGACCTAGGGGTAAAGGTCAACTTATATGATGAGCTGTCATCCCAAGAACTTTGCAGATCCCCACATATTCGTCATATACAACTTTCTTCACACACAACTTCTCACGGCCGATGTTCGAAGTTCGAAGGTAGATTAGTGTATAAGAGAGTTATATATTTCCAAATTTTTCATGACATTTTGTACGTTATTCGTTTTCTCAGACGAAATTTTTATTGTTTTATTATTATACGTATACGACACGTTATATTATTTTTTAAATTTTAATATAATGAATACGAAAAAATGAATTTATATACTATTCTCGATTTTATATCGTGTAAAAGTATCCGTCATTTGAATTGAAACTTGTGTTTTCACTGTACATTATTCTACTTTTCATAATTATGATTTAAATAAAAAATAAAAAATAAAAATAAAAATAAAAAATATTTTACATTTACATGAAAGTTTATGTTCTTGCTTTTCTGTGATGCTGATAAATTTCTCGGAAATCTGTACAAAGAACAGTCATTAGTTTGCAAGCTCAGAAGTTGATCTGAAATTTTTGCGTTTGTATGTATACGATGGCACGTGTGTAATACAACATTCAACATCGCATCGATAACAGATAAATCACTGATAAGTATTATCAATTGATTTATCAATTAATTTATCTTTCAAAACTTTCCCACATACTTGCAAAATAGCTAAAGATGACAATTTATTATGGTTACAACTCTAGCTCGTCTAGCTCGTCAAACGTTAGCAGAATTAGCAGAATCAACAGATCAAGTGGTGCATGACTTTTAACGTATTAATCCTTTGAGGGTAGGTTCTAACAGTAAATTTTATCATAGAGAGCACCGCTATCTCCACTAACTCCAATATCTCTAATCAAAGGTAAATAAATATTGCAACTGATACTTCACATTTAATTTTTTTTGACTAACTAGAGTCATTTCTTTGTAACGATAGAACTTCTGTTGTAGAATTAACAAAATTACAACAAGGCTCCCATATGTGCTCGCCGAGACCGTGACTTTGGACGAATATGAAAGCCGCATAGACAAGTTTACATTCATGGTTTATGTGAATGGAAAGATTACAAAGTCATAATTTACGAACTTCCATTAAAACCACATGAAACTTGCATTGGTGAAATTACTTCGGAAATAGTTGAGAAATGCATTCCTGTTAAAGGAACAAATTCCAGAATCATAAACCTAGCAGCAACTCATAGGTATTAGTTAATTAACTATCTTAGTCCTATTTCGTGATATCAAATTAATATTCTTTCTTAAAGGAACTCGTGCTGATGATTCTGAAAAAGAAGCAGATACATCATTTCGTCTAAAGAAACCACGAGTACCAGCACTAACTGAAAGTGATGGAGAGGTACCTTTTATTTTTTTTTTTTATTGATTCGAAACCCTTTAACATTGTAACTTTACATTTCATGATTTTAGGACGAACTGTGACCAAATATTGTCACAGAAGTCGCATACTCTGAAATCATAGACCATGTCTTTGAGAAGGTGAAAAATTACTGGCTAAAGGATTATAGTCGTGCGCATGATGCGATAGTTGTTAAAATTAATCAATTTCCGTGGACAGAATGCGCATGCAAGTAAGTTATATTTTCTAAAAGTTTAAGTGGCATTTTATTGCTTGTGTATTATTCCAAAGAATAAGCCCATGTAGGCATGGCATTTTTATTCTAGGACAGAACAAGGAACAGAACAAGGAACAGAATTTTCATATCGGACTCAAATTAATAATAATAATAATAGAAAAGAGAATTTTTTTCTATATTTGACATTACGTGAGTTTGGCACTCATGATGGAGCCGGAAATCTGTTTGCCTCATCAATATTTATTTGGATACTATCAAGCACAAATTCCTCAAAATATTCTCCCCAATCCTATAATATTGGATTTCTTCTTTATTCGAGATGAAATTTTCTACGCATTTGATATATAATATAACAAATAGGTTAAGAAACTAATTGCTTAGCATATTCTTATCTAACATCACAATGTATGTAGCGAAATTTAATTGCATTGTATATTTTGATATTGTAATTTGTAGTTTTTGTAGTTAAAAATACAACCAACTATATCAATAGAATATAAAAACTCAATTATATACTGTATAAAAATTATTAAATAAAAAAAAATAAAATTATTAAATAAAAAAAAAATAAAATTATTAAATAAAAAATAAAAATTATTAAAAAAAATAAAATTATTAAAAATAAAATTATTAAATAAAAAAATAAAATATTAAATAAAAAAATAAAAATTATTAAATAAAAAAATAAAATAAACAAACTATATTAATTCATAATTATAAACATCAAAATCAAAGAACAAGGATTTGACAATTCTGTTTTCTTCTCCAATTGATGTTTCGGTAGTATCTACTCTAGTTCAAGTGGTACTTGCGGCACAATGATTTTTATAAAACATTAACTCCCAAAGTAATTTTATTTCTCCACTAATCTTTGAAGGAAATGTTAATCTCCATAAGTTATCAGAGATTAATGACTGTTAACCTTAGATAACTAATGTTTACAAATTTATTTCAGTGATTTATAATAACCTTCAATAACATTTGCTACTGATGTTTATAAAATTACAGTCAACTCCTCTATAAAGAGGGAGTTCTTATAGCGAGGGAATTTTTAATATAGTCCCTTATATATAGGGACCAAGCACTATGTGATTATAAGAGGGGAGTTCTTATACAGGAGATACCTTTAGAGGGAATCGACTGTACAAAGTATTTTACTTTGGTATTTGATACTACATTTTGTATTTTCACAAATAAAAATAGTACATTATGTAATTTTCCCGGAAAACGTTTTCAAAAAAAAAGAAAAACCTGTAAATTTTGATACTGCTATTTCCATTGACATTAATTTAACAAAAAAATTTCATATTATAGATAAAGAAATTTTTATTAGATTAATGAAAACACCACACCATTGATCCAAGAAATCAAAAAAAAAAAAAAAAAACCATCAAATCAATAATGCAATGTTATCCTAATGTGTGACTCGATGGATAATTGGTATTTGCATTCAAACATGAAGGTTTTTGTTGTTGTAGATCAAAAAGGAAAACAATATATGTAGATAACAGATATTATTATTATATTGCTTCTCCTTCGCAGTTTTTGAGACATTGAATTTAATAGGTGGTAGCTAAATAATAATTTTTTATAATAAGTGATTCTGTTAGTTTTTTTTTTTTTATTTTTTAGAAAAAAAAAAATTAATGAAGCTTTTTATGAATAACATTTACCTTCTGGAGTATTAACCAATTAAAATTCAAAGTGTGACCGTTTCAAAAAATGATAAATTTGCGTTTTACCATGAACTGATAATAATGAAAATCCATTATGCTGATTATATGCCTGTGCTTCGCGTGGGCATTTGTTTTAACATAACTATTAATGTGTAGTAATTAAGAGGAAGGAATGTTCTCCTGAATTATTACTTTAATAAGGTAATAGTTGTATTATATATTACAATACAAAAATATTGTTATTATTTGTACCACATGGTTCATCTTTTTTATAAGCCCGAAGAAAAAAAAAATCTCATTTCTTTTAATTTATCTTTATTTATAAAAATATATAAAATTCATAAAAAAATCAAAAGAAATTTATGAAATTATTTATATTTAATTATATTTAATTTATTTATTTAATTATTTATTTTAATTATTATATATATATATATTTTTTTAAATTATAAAAAAAAATGCCACCGTCTACAGAAATATCCAAGGAATCTTCTATACCTTCCAAAGAAGATAATAATCCAGATTATCGCAATCCTTTATATGTTGGAGAGTGGAAGAAATCTATTCCATATGTTGATGAAGATATTGCAGTTGATGATCTGGATGAACCACATATGAAGCGTAAAATAACTATTCTTCGTGATTATCCCGAAATTGAAAAATTATATGGAATTGATATGACGACAATTCCTATTACCATTATAGCTGCTACCGCTCAAATAATTGCATCATATGTTTTTGGTAAAATATTAATTGATTGGAATTGGACGATGGTAATTTATAGTTATTTCCTTGGTGGTTCATTAACTCAACTTTATGGAGTGATTATTCACGAAGCGGCTCATTGTTTAGCCGCACCCACAAGATTTCAAAATAGAATTATAGGATTAATAGCTAATACCGCATTACCATTTCCTATCGCTATGTCATTTCGTAGATATCATTTAGAACATCACACATTTCAAGGGGTTGTGGGTTTAGATCCTGATTTACCTTTAGAATGGGAAAAGAAATTAGTACAAGGAAATTCATTATTTAAATTTTTATGGTTAAATGTTTATCCCGTAATGTATGTTCTTAGAGGTTTGGTAATGCAAAAGACTCCACAATTTTGGGAATACGTTAATTGGATTTATACAATAATTGGAAATTTTTTGATTTATTATTTTTGTGGGGGAAGAGGATTATTTTACTTATTTTTATCTTTATGGTTTGGTTACGGAGCACATCCTGCTGCCGCTCATTTCATTCAAGAACATTATACTTTTGATGATGGACAGGAAACTTATTCTTATTATGGAATACTTAATTATTTCTTTATGAATATTGGTTATCATAACGAACATCATGATTTTACGAAAATTCCTTGGTCGAGGTAAATAATTTATAATTTATTATAATTTATTTTATACTTTAATTTTATAATTTATAATAATTTATTCTACACTTTAATTTGGATTTTAATTTATAACTATATATCTATCTATACTTTAATTTATTTATACATATTAATTTATGCTCATTAATTTATTAATTTATACTCATTAATTTATTAATTTATGCTCATTAATTATTAATTTATACTCTTTAATTTATTCTCTTTAATTTATACTCTTTAATTTTTATAGACTACCAAAAGTTCGTAAAATAGCTTCAGAATATTATGATAATCTTGCTTATCATACTTCATGGTGTATGGTTCTTTGGAATTTTGTGACAAAAATTCAATACGGACCACAAAGTCGAGTAGGAAGATCAGTTAATGATCATAAAAAAGGAAGGAAAATGTTGAGGGATGTGAAAAAATGGGTCTATAGCTTAAAAAAATAATAATTTAATTAAATATAAATTTTTATAAATTTTTATTTATTTTTTAAGATTATTTTAAGATTCGATTATTTTATGGTAAAATAGAATTATAAATTATTTTTAACTATATTATTACAATAAGTTAGCCTAGAATAGATTAATTAGTCTAGATTAAGATAACTTATTCAATATATTTAATTAATTTTAATTTTTACTAATTTAATTTTACTTAAAATAATAAATAAATAGATTACAATACAAACTTTAATGTTTGTGTATATTTGTGTATCAAACCATATATATTTCCATTTCTTTTTTTTTTTTTTTTTTTTAGAATAAAAATAGGATTGTTGTGTCAATATTATAATAAAAATATTTACTACTTTTTATATAATTTTCTTATTTAAATCACATGGAACTAATTTTATTGGATCATATTTATAATATGATTCTTTGTACCGTAAAGATCCGCATACAATACCCGAACTGGGTGATCGGCCAATATTGAAATTTTTCAATTGTTTTTTTTTTTTTGTAAACTTGAAAGAATAGATCGAAATTTTTCAAAATAAAAATGTATAAATGAAACATTTTGGATCTATAGATTCAATGAATTTATTATCTATCGTGTAAAGCCACAACATTTTTGTATTGTGACTGGTTTATCGAACGAATTTTATTAGATTTAGATACCTGTTATCTTTTTCTGTAAACCTCTAGATAATATTTGGAATCGATTTATAATTTCTTTTCTTTTTTTAGATTCAATGAATTTATTATCTACGTAAATAATTTTGTGATATCCTTAAATGAAATACATTATTTTATCTCATGCACATGTTAGAAAAAAGTTTAATAATAATAATAAAATTCTATTACATGAAAGCAAACTATCAAAGTTTTTCTTAAAAAAAGTTAATTGATTAGATACTTCTATTTATTCATTTAAAGTTATATACATAGTATAATGTTATTGAACATCGTACAAGATAATGAATTTAATGCTAATTTTGTATATAAATATATTATATATCTTGTATTTTAATTAATATTGTGTACGAAAAAAAATGCCCATTATCTATCCATTTTTGCATGCGTATCAGTACATAGACGTAGTAAATGTTGTTGGTGAAGCGAAATCAATCAAAAAGAGAGTCAAGAAGATTTAAAAGGGGAAATGCATTATAAATCCGTTATAATTATGAGATAATAAATTAATTGCTTTCACAATGCAATGGTGATCCGGATATATTTTTATCAAGTGGTTTACTATTAATATATTTATTATTTTATTTTATATTTTTCATTTTATTTTATTAATGATTCTTTAAATTTAGACCTTCGCCGGAACTCAAGCATATAATCTAACTTATGATTGTGATAATCTCGTCGATAGTTGTTTACTTAAATTTACATAGTTCAAGTTCATGTAACCAACAATATGAGAAATTTGTATAAATAATCGAACGACAAGTTGTGATGTTCAAGCAAGTGTTTTTAAAGAATGGACTGGTGATTTATTTGTGAAACGAGCGATGTCATATGTGTTGCTTGGCATACTTATGCGAAGCAAAGACTTCGTTTTTGATAGATCTATTGTTATTTTTTTTTGATATATCAAATTTTCATGTGACAAAATAGTTAACCACTTTTTTCACGCGTATCTTGATATATCAAAAAAATAACAATACGTCTGTCAAAAATGAAACTTTTGCTTATGCGAAAGTTTGGGAAATGCCCGTGAATTCTCAAAAGATGCTTGTAAAAAAAAAAAAAAAATTCCTGATGAGGTTTTAAAATGTTTCTAGGAAAATAATGGGGTTATCCTATTAAAAAAAGCAACTTGAAGATAGTAAATTTATTATTTATTTCGTTATGTATAGTTAATTTATTATTATTACGTTACATTACACTTATTATATATTAGGAATCAGATTTTTGAATCCTGATACTTGTCAAGTAGGAAATGAAAGGAAAGTTATTCTGTCATGGAACAGGTTTAAGACTTGTGCTAGAAGCAGATTTAGATTCAATATTTTTAGATAAAAAAATTTATGGATAATATGGATAATGAAATCCTTAACATTTGCTGATTATAATTCAACATTTATGCCTAATTATATTGAATATTATTTTGGATGTTCATTAATTTTACAAGAAAAAAAAAGATGAGATGATGGTCAACATTAAGAGAAATGATTGAAATAAATCAAAGAATTGTTGTCAAGTCCACGTTAAGATTGGTACATAATATGTAATATTGATTCCTATTTTGTACCAAGTTATAATTATACAAATTATAAAGCGGATGTTTTAGCTGCTCAACAATTAAATGAAAGTTTTACTGGATGGGTAAATAATGCTCAGAATGTAATGGCTGATGATTTAAAAAATTATTTGATATATTTGATAGCAAATAATTGATGATATGTGAGTAAACTTTCTGTCTGTTTAATATATTTTATTTTAATATATTTTATTATAACATATTTTATTTATAATATATTTTTTTATATAGAGTTAAATTTGGATTAATAAGACTAGAAGAATCCTTAAAAAATCAATTATGAATTATTGGTTATTTTTTTTTGATATTATTAAAGATAAATTTCCTCAAAGTATTTTATTTGATATCGTTAATAAATTAAATAAATTAAATGTACAAAATAATCGAACAATTTAATATTAAATAATATATTATTATATAATATTATATACTGTAATATATATATACATAATGCAGTCATAAATTCGTATTTTATTATTTTCAAATAATTAATTATTCAAATATATAAAGTACTATTACATTAACGTTTTTCATCTTTAATCATCATTTTAGTATTATTAATGAAACTCTCGATTTCATCAAGATTGGCAATTTCCTCATTTGATATTTCTTCCTTCTTTAACCGTTTTTTCATACTAATAACTACATTTTCTAATGCTTTAATACTTTTCTTTGTACGTTCTTCGTTTAAGTCATTACCACATTCTAATCTTCTCTTCATGGCTATTATGGCACATTCTATTCCATTAATATTTGTTAATCTTCTCTCATTATCATTATTTTTACTATAATTACAATTCTTACCATAATTATTAATATAATTATAATTATAGTAATAATTATTATCATTATTGTTACTATTATTATTAACAGATCGTTTCTTTAGAGCTTTTGAATACTTTGTTGTATAATGTTTTCCTTTATTAATCATCTTCACAATTTTTATATTGGATCCATTGAAATTAAATGAAGCTTTTGAAAGTACATATTCATAAGCTTTATATTCAATGAATTCGGCAAATGCAATATTCTAAAAATACATATATATATATATATAAATTTGAAATATAACGAATATAATGAATAATAATATAATTATAATAAGAAAAAAAAAATTCACCTTTTTATTTATTATCCTAAGAGATTTAATCACTCCAAATTTATCAAGAAAATTAAACATGTCATTCCATTTAGTGTTATTTGGAAGTCCACTAATGAAAACCCTGTAAACATCTTTAAATTGATAATAAAATAAATTATGATTGATTCAAATAAAAAAGTAAATAAACACATAAATACATATAAAAAACAAACCTTTTTGAATTTCAAATGATTCATCGCCATCATCATTATTACGATAATTATTCTTATGGTTATAATTATTATGGTGATTAAGATGATTATTATGATTATGATTATTTTCTCTTGTTGAAACATTTTCCGTTGTATTATTCAATAATGATAACATTGAATTCCAAAATTTGTTATCATCAGAATTATTTTCTTCCACAAAGTTATTGTCATTTTTATTAAAAACATCGAAATACGGTTCTAATATAAATTATTTAAGAATATATTAAAAAAATATTAATCATATTAACCATAATCATATATTAATACATTCGAATTTCATAAAAATTTACCTTTTTCTTTTTCTTGTTGAATTAATGGAGATGATGAATTTCTATTAAAATAAAAGAATTCGATCTCTTTTATCGGTTCGATTTCGTAATTCGAATCATTAATTAGATTATTATTTATAGTAAAATTATCATTTGTTATCAAATTATTTGTCAAATTGTCAAGAAAATTCGATGATCGAGTCATCATTGTAGTATTTGGAATAATACTTGAAATAGTATTTGAAATAGTATTTATAATATTTGATGGTTGTGTATGTCGAGTCATCGTTGTATTTATATTTGACGACGACGAAATATTGATATTCGATGACGACGAAAAATTGATATTTGATGACGACGAGATATTGATATTTGATGACGATGAGTTATTAGAATTATTGTTACTCGGCGAAATATTTGGGTCTAACAATTGGGAAACTAAATGCTTTTGGTTTTTAATCAAATCCTCTTGTTTTTCTCGAAATTTTTTGTATTCGGTAACGTTTGTTTCTTGTGAATGAATTATATAACTCATTTGGTTATAATTTTCACATTGATGACGATAAGGATTCATTTAGTATTTTTTTTTTTTAAAAAAAAACGAGATTTGATCTTATTTATACATATATTTTTATACGTTACTCAGAGGTATGGTCATATGATATTATCATATCGCGACTTAAATCACCATCTTCATCATATCAAGAGGTTTATTAATAATTTAGAAAGTAGTATTTATAGAATTGTGCTAATTTATTCTTTATTTGGAATTTGTTTTTATTTTATTTTTTTATTTTTATTTACGTTTTGAATGAATGGAATGTGTGGCAATATTGTCAACCGATTAAAATATTATAATTGCTCATTTAAAAATCTTTACTCGAATTTTTATCTCTTTCCATAAATTATGTAATTATTTTATTTTGGCACAAAATTATATTATATTTTCTTATTGCTATATATATATATACAAACATATATTTATACATCAATATAGATAATACGGGTTCTCAACTCGTTAAATTTAAATTAATCTTATTTGTCTAGTATAATTTTCTGTGCACATATATAAATAATCAAAGGCAATTTAAATAATAAACCTTATCTATTAACTATTATTAAAAACATAACCCACGGTAATTTCATATTATATTATAATTTTATTTGTAAAATATAGCAATAAACAATAAATTATATATTAGTTGATTTTTTATTTATTTATTCATTTTATTATATTACCTTTAAATGAAATAGGAAATGACTACTCAAAGAATTAAATGGAATGAGAAATTAAGAAGGATTTGGAATAAAACTTATTATTCTCTAGATACCAATATTCATAAACACATATTGAGCAAGAAGAATACCGAAAAAACATAATTAAAAATGATTCATCTCTCACCGAGAATGAAAAGAATTTTTTACTTAATAAAATTCAGGAAACATATGATGCATTAAGAATTGGGGATAATTCTGTAGAAATACAAAAATGCAACAATTGTCAGAATTGGCATCAAGAGACCCTATTTTGTGAATTTTGTATTCGTAAATATTTAGAAAATGATTTTGGAAATTGGACATCTCGAAATAATGAAATTGATAAATTAATTCAAGAATGTCAGCAAAAAACTATAATACCTCATTGTGTTATTGAATGGATTGAATATGATCAATTTGAGAATATTAAACATCTGACAGAAGAAGGATGTGCTACCATTTATACAACAATTTGGAAAGATGGATGCTACGTTAATTTGGATTCCGAAAGACAAACATTGAAAAGATTTGGAAGACAAAAGATTGTTTTGAAAAGATTGAATAACTGAAATAATAATAATGTGAATTGGTTTCAAGAAGTAAGTTAAATTATTATTGCATTTATTATACTCTGTTTGATATTTCGGAGATATTAATTATATAATTACAAAAAAATTGATAGGTGACATTAAGTTTGTCACTTGATAAAACTTCATCATTTCTTGTTAGATGTTATGGACTAACCAAAGATTCAACCACCCAAGATTATATGTTAGTTTTAAATCATTGTGATAATGATTTAAGACATTTTTTAAAAGATAGTTATCATTCACTTACATTGTTACAAAAATACCAAAATATTTCTTATGTTGCAATAGGTTTATTTAAAATTCATAGACAAAATATAATACACAGAGATTTGCACTCAGGAAATATTCTACTAAAAACTTTATGGCATATTAGTGATTAGTCGACCAGTTAACAAACCATCAAATAGTATTTATGGGAATCTTCCATACATTGCTCCTGAAGTTTTCTGTGGTGAGATTTATACAAAAAAATCAGATATATATAGTATGGGCATTTTAATGTGGGAAATAATGACCGGTGAAACTCCATTCGATGACTGTGAACATAATTTGGATTTAACTCTTGATATAGTCAAAGGATATCGACCAAAGATTTATGAATATATTCCACACGAATATTCAACTTTAATGAAACAATGTTGGGATACTAATCCCGATATTAGACCTCATGCAAATACAATTTACAAAAAAATGAATCCATTAATTCAGTCATTACACAATAAAATGGATAAACAACAAGAAATTAATACTCAATTAAGCAAAAATACAGAATATAGAATACAAAATAGTAAAGTATTTGCATTTAACACTCCAATTAAACCTAGAAATGCCACTGATGGTAAATATATTTTATATTACTTCTTTTCTTATTGATTATATTTTTATTATTTTATTATTTATTTATTTTAAATCGAATCGTTATTCATTTTATAGAAGAACAACTAAGTAAGTTAACTCGAATTTTTCAATTTATATGAAAACAATTATACATATTGACATTCTAAATAAATTGATTTTTTTATTTGTTATATGATATTTGTTCGTGGAATTTAATGAGTTTATTTTTTATGATGTAATTATAGAAATGGAAAAACGATATCTTAAAAGTATTGGAGCCAATTATTCAAATAAATCGTAAGGTGATTAATATGATTCCACGATTATTTTCTTATTTTTGAATTATATGAGAAAATCGAGAATTTAGAATCGCTAGTCCTTCAAATTCAGACTTAGAAATTTTTTTTCATATTATTATACTATTTTCCTTATATTATCAGTTAGTAAGTTATTAGATATTTATTTTATCGCGTGTTTTTTTTTTAATTTTTTTTAATTAAAATTCTATAAATTAAAATATTTATTTTATTTTGTGTATGATTTCAGACATTGCTACTACATATAAATATTAGACATTTATCTTATTATTTTATTAAATAATTTAAATTAATTTTTACTAACATCATCAATAACATCAATATCTAACATTTGATTTTTTGTGGCGCGAATAAGACAATTGATGTCTGTTTCTTTTATGAATATTGTGAAACAATGTTTCCAACGTTTATTAAATTAACTTAAATAGTTTGAAAATTTCCACATTTGAATAATTTGAATAACGAAAAAGTATTGAGATTTTTTTATTTTTTGTTAAAACATAAGAAGATGAACCTATCTATTAATAATTAAGATATTATCATTATATTATATTAAAAGTCTTTATTTTGATTTTCGTGTTTAAAAGTTATTGTAATTAAATATAATAAAGCCACGTGAGTGCCTCATAATATATCGATATTTCATTTTATATGAATAAATATTAAATAATTTCCTTGGGATAAAAAATATATTGTAAATAGTTGAAATTAATAAAAAGTTTTTTTTTTCTTTTTAAAGTTGACTAGCAGTTATTGACACCATATGTAAAAATGCTTTTAGAAAAATTGAAAGGATTCACTTTATACGAATAAATGTCACCATTATCAAATCTTAATTTGTGTCGATGCGTATTTTCAGATCTTTAACACTTAAGTAAGACCCTTTTTACACGTTAGGTATAATCTTTTTATTTAATAAGTATCTCATTTCATAAAAACATATTTTGAACCCTGATATGTTCACGACATTCTTTGTTACATATAAATTTGCATTTTTTCATAATTTATTATAATTATTTGTCATTAGTGCTTTTTATTATTGTTATTTTATCATTTTGCTTTTTATTTTGGTCTATCATTGAAATTTCTTGGAGCCGGTTGTCAAAATGTTACCTATCAGGTAGCATATAAGTGGCAGAAACAGTTATATGTATCTTTAGCTTATATTACTGCTGAAATCGTCAAATATAATTTAATAATTTGCCTAGGTAATTTTCTGCGCACATATATTTTGTCAAATTTAAATTAATATTATTTGCCTAGATAATTCATATATCCCATCACTAATAAATAATTAAAGTCAATTAAAATAATAATCCTTATATATTAAACATTATTAAAAAAAAAATTAAAAACATAATCCACTGTAAATTTCATATATATTTTTATTTGTAAATAAATTAATAAAAAATAAATTATAGATTGATTAATTATTCATTTAAATTATATTACCTTACTTTTAAATGAAATAGGAAATGGCTACTCAAAAAATTGAATGGAATGAGAAATTAAACGGTGTTTGGAATAAAAGATTTTATTCTTTAGACACCAATATTCATAAAACACTTACTGAACAAGAAGAATATCGAAAAAAAATATGGTTAAAAACGATTCATCTCTAACCGAAAATGAAAGGATTTTTTACTTGTTAGATTACAGGGTGCATATGATTGTGCAAGAGTTAACAGTAATTCTTCAGAAAAACAAAAATGTAACAATTGTCATCAGTCAACCCAATATTGAATTTTGTATTCGTAAAAATTTAAAAAATGATTTTGGAAATTGGACATCTCGAAATAATGAAATTGATAAATTAATTCAAAAATTGTGTAATTGAATGGATCAATTTGAGAATGTAGAACATGAGGATGTGCTACTATTTATACAGCAATTTGGAAAGATGAATGCTACGTTAATTGGGATTCCGAAAGACAAACATTGGAAAGATTTGGAAGTCAAAAGATTGTTTTTGAAAAGATTGAATAACTCAAATAATAATAATGTACATTGGTTTCAATAAGTAAGTTGACTTATTATTATTACATTTAAAAAATTGATAGGTGACATTAAGTTTCACACTTGATAATATTTATTCATTTCTTGTACTAGCCAAAGATCATAAGCAAATGAATCAATCTATTATCGCTCTTTGCAAAATTATGCGGTCATGTGAAAATTTGATAATATAATTGATAGGTATTCGAATACCAAATA